ACAGTCCCACCCGGAGCAGGTTTGCGCCACACCCCGCCGTGCGCAAAGGCCGACAAACGTAGGGCGAGGACCCGTCCATCGCCGCTTGCGGCTTTAATTATAGTTTGCAATACAATTTTCTTTGAATCACGCTAGTTGATGTCAGTCTGTCCCACCGGTTGGTTAGTTCACTACTTTGGTTTGGATTTATAACTGCATTATAAAAACCCAAAGAACGGATCCTACTGACTTTGGTGACCCCAGATTGTTCCTCTGAGGCCACCAGTGAGTTTACAACACCATTTTTTTTTTTGGTGAAATAAGTCAATAACAACATGCATTGATGCACTTTGAACTACTGATCGTTTGCTACAAAACTTGCTCGGCAAATGAATTATACGCCTTTAACTTTATTTCCAGTGCTGACATCAGGACAAAATAACACTCAAAACTACTCAAAGAGTCACTAAACACTTCCTTGACTAAAACTGTCCTCCAATCATCCTCAGGTGTAGCTTGTGTTGTACCAACATAAAGCTAATTAGCACCCATGCTAACATACGGGCTGCAAGGTGGCTTGGTGGTGAGCAAAGAAGATCCCCGATTAGGACACCCGGGATCTTTCTGCATGGAGTTTGCATGTTCTCCCCGTGCAGCGTGGGTTCTCTCCGGGTTCTCCGGCTTCCTCCCACAAGTCCAAAAACATGTTGAGGTTCTAAATTGTCCGTAGGTGTGAATGTGAGTGTGCTTGGTTGTCTGTCTCTGTGTGTAGTCCTGTGATAGACTGGTGACCTGCCTTCGCCCTGCAACCCAAGTGAGGATTAAGTGTGTATAGATAATGGATGGTTGGATGCTAACATGATAAAGCAAGATGGTGAACCCCACCACCCCATCCCCACTCTCACCCCAACTGTCAGAGGCAGATGGCCACCATCCCTGGTTCTGTCTGAGGTTTTTTTGTTTTGCCCTCCCTATTAAAGGCTGTTCTTTGATTCCTTCCCACTGTTGCCGACTGCTCGCTCAGATGATCCAAAGGCAGCTCTGGATTGTTCCATTTAAATTCATAACCTTACTATGTTAAACACTGTGAGATGACATATGTTGTAAATTATGCTATATAAATAAAATTGAATTGAATTGAACATGGTGGGAGTTACACCTGCTCAACATTATCATGACAGTGACATTAAGAACACGCCACCACTTCACTGCAAACCAACCGAGCGTAGCTGATCTGGCGTTGTATAGAAAACCTTATGTCATCTAGTTGTTGCTTGCATTGCTTCACATAAAGATGAGCTTTTCTCAGCTTTCTCCTGTCGTGATGCTTGGCACCTTTTAAACCCGTGTACCTCAGCAGGTGGCAGCAGGTCAGACGCCAAATTCAACTCGCAATGTTTTCACCGTTTTTTTAAATCTTGAAACAAAATTGTTGGCCTCCTCCTTTAAAATCAAAACTGTTCACATTTGTTTTGAGCCAAAGTCAGAAGGATTTGTTCTCGTGCTCAAAAAAACAAAAACAACTATTGTTGGCTTTAGTCACTAGCCATCCACCTCCACTGTTGCTTGACTATCCAATGAACCGCTGCCAAGTATCTTGTATGACTGAGCTGACAAAACCACAGAGGAGGTTATCGAAGCTTACTGGGTTAAACCGTGTTTTTTTGGGGTGTTTTTTGTGGATCGCTACAAGCCGCCTTGGGTTGTTCCAGAACAGAAATCACTGGGACATGGAGGACTACGACTCACTGCAGAAACATAAGCACGGATTTTTTCTTCTGCGTGTATCTCAAACAACCCATCAGCGCCGACACCGAGCTCCGTTCTGCACTTGAATTTTTATAACTCGAGCAAAGCCACTGTAGCATATTATTCTACAAGCGAGTGTCCATTTGAGATATTATTCCACCCGCGATTGTCCATCTAAGATCATTAAAAGCCTCAAAGACTGCGAAGGCATTCATCACACAGATGAACTAATTTTTCCACTAGAAATAATGGGTAGAAATATGTGACCATTATATTATAATAAAGGTATTTATGAGCCTTCAATCTCGCAGCCTCACTATGAGATATCTTTGAAAATTTGAAATCAGCTCCTGAGGCTGAGGGTGGGGGAGGGAGGGAGGGAGGGANGAGAGAGAGAGAGAGAGAGAGAGAGAGAGAGAGAGAGAGAGAGAGAGAGAGAGAGAGAGAGTGAGAAATGGCAAGGGAGAGATGTGGGAGTTGTGCTTTGCTTTTTTGCCATAGGTTACATTTATAATTATCTTGCTGGCATAAAATGGCCAAGAGGCTTTTTCAATAAAGGTAGGAGGCACCTACAGTACAAAATATTACCTACAGATCAACACAGAACAAGAGAGAAGACTGCAGATAGAGGAAGACGAAATCCAGCGCACAATATAATCTAATAAGTGTATTTAGTCGGGACGTTCATTAGGAGCCACTGCTTGCGCTGGGCCGTGGAACAGAGCACTGTGAGGGCTGATGATCTGAAGACGAGGTGAATGAGTCCATCCACTGACCTTCACTAGTGGTGAGTAAGCAAAGCCCGAGGAGCGAGGGAAAAGATGGCCACAGCCACTTTCTCCGGGGCCTACTCTGCCTTTTGATGACTGGAAATAATCACTAGAGAGAAAGCAAGTGAAAGAGGCATGATCACAGACACACCACAGCAGAGAGGAGGATCTCAGATTGCTTTATACTCCTCCAAACCCCTGTCCTCTAAAGGACTGGAAGTCAGTTTCTTAATACCATTCATCTTTTCTGCAACCGCCCGCGTCCTGAGAGGAGAATATCTCTAATTCCTTTTCAAGTTAGTCGGAATCCAGGAAGTGAGGAGCGATAGGGCTGGACAAGGTCTCATTATGCTCGGGCTGCCCCGCAGGTAGCAAACTTAAAAAATCACATAAAATGCACAAAAAAAAGTACGACTGGAGCGAAAGCTAAACACATGTTCATTCTCTCCCCCACGACAACATCCTGAACAACATTTTCATTTCATACATTAGCATTCATGCTGTGATCAAATTTGCTCCTCAGATAAATGCCGCCGTACAAAACTTTGCTAATTGAGTTAGATGAGTGAAGAGATGCGACTGTCATGACACAAGGAGGAAATAAGCTAGTCTGGCTCTGCCTAAAAGCTTCTTAAGTGAGTAAGCATGCTCATAGTCTTCATACTTTAGGGTTTAGTTACCTTTGTTAATGTGCATAAAACCAACAAGCTGTGGTTTTATAGTTTTTGCACAACATGGCTGCACAGTAGCTTTACATTTGTACAGACATGTGAGTGATATCAATCCTTTATTTAACACTCTGCAAGAAGCAAATAATTATATTTAAAATGATTGTCCCTTGAAAAGATTTGGCTTTTGATATAGATGTTTACTCTGCATGTAGCTTTGCTAAAAATGATCCACCAGTGATTGTCTCAAACACTAACCCACTAAATCAGTAAATTCTAATGATTTTAGCTAAAAATTTGATTTTTTTTCTTTGCACCCCGAATGCTTAATTAAGCAGACACACACACACAAAAACCACGTTAGATTTGTATGATTGAGAACAAAGCATGGCTGTGTACCACTCACAGTTGCACCTCTAGCCTATGAGAATAGCAGTCAGTCAAAAGGGAATCTGGGGCAAAGAGGCCTGAAAGGGAGACATATAGCATAAACCGTAGATAGCCGAAGAAAGTGGAGATTCTGCCAAAAGGGATGGAGACAAGACGACAGGGCTCCGTGTGGGATTTCACTTTGGATTTTGGCCCTGCAGGAATATGTGGAAGCACAACTGACAGGACTTGCGTGGAGAAGTCGGCTCTATTCAATATAACTAAGTAAAGAATGCCCCATGTAGTCACTGATGCACCAGCATAAATCCTCCAAGGTACGATACTGCCTTGGTAGCTCGCTTTACCTCTCTGGTTGTGGGGAGCTAAAGCACTACATAATGTAGAAGATTTTGGCCTTGCTTGCCGCTATAAGTACGTTCAGGATGCTAAGAAATAATCCTAAAACAAATGCAGTGAATTTAAGGGATTACACACTAAGCAGACACGCTCGTAAAAACAGCGGACAGACACCATGACAACTTTAGCTGAGATTTATTTCACATTATTATTATTATTATTATTATTATTTTTGCTACATTCCTCTTTACTCAAATCTAGGGAGCGTAGGTGGGTCAGTCATCTTAGAAATACTTTATATCCAACTTCATATCAACATGTGCTACAAATAAAAGTGATCTTGGAGTGGGTAGTACAATAAGCTTTTAATCTGTTCAGTCATGTCTGAGGCAACAAATTTGCTTTAAAAAGATTCAATGTAAAAAACACAAACACATATACGATGAAAATTTACAGGTCATGACTCGGAGGAATATTATGATCCAATTAAATAAATTCCCAAGGTAGCACATGGGGTTTGTAGTTCCCCAAAGAGGCAAATGGTGTGACATAATCATTTACAAAAATTTTTTTTTTTTCTTATTACTGTGTATAGAATGGTCTTTGATGTTAAATTCATACTAATGTCGACTCTATTTTATGGCGCGGGCCGATAAAAGAACCTCAAATTAAAGTCAAAACACTTCATTGGTATCACAATATTCAACATCATGTTAATTATGAAAAAAAAGGATGCTGCTGTTGAAACTAACTGTGTATGACAACTGAGACATTCTGTACTGTAAGCAACACGTCAGTGACCTTTTCAGAACGAGGGGTAAAAACAGACTGAGCCAATATGCCAGTGGAACAACAAAACCAAGTCAGTGGTGACGAGCTGGGCAACTCACTAAATCAGCCAGAAAAGCCTTTTAAATTTATATGGGTAAATTAGAAATCATATTCAACCTAATGTAGGCTCCAAGTTTTAAAACAAACTTTGTTTGGGGATCCAGCATATATAAATCCTTTTTAAAATTGGTTTATGGGGGCTAGACAATCACAAATGTCCTTGCAATCTCAAACTTATCAAATGTCTTGTATCTTCTTATGGCAAAAAAATCTCCTGTTGCACTTCATTTTTATTCTCTAGATGGTTCTCAAGTTTAAGAAAACAAAAACATCAACAAGGAAATGAAGAAAAACAGAGTCCACAGAGCTCTGCAGCGTCAAGCATTTTGGCTGCCACAGAAAAGTCTAGCGCCTCCTACTGCTCGGGAGGCTTCTAGTCCAGCTGCTCCTGCTTTATCCTGTTTGAATTGGGTCCTCGCTGACTTGTCCTCCTCAGTTCCCTCCTCAGGACGTACTCGCTGAATTGGGACGAGTCCACGCCTCCGCCGCAGGAGCCGGCGATCTCGAAGCCACGTTGTTGGAGACGCTCTAGAACCTGAAAGCGGGAGAACGAGACAGAAGGGCGAGAGGATGTCAGAAGCAATATCGATTATGAAGACTCCATTAGCGTTAATCATCTGGTGACGCGCTGAAAGACTGAACCGTGATGCTACAACTTCAACGTCACCTCTAACCTTTTGTTCACCACCGCAAAGCCGGAAAGCACAGAATCACCTCCAATTATACGCTGCTGCTGCTGCTGCTGCTGCTGCTGCTGCTGCGTTAGTGCTAAGTCTAGCATTGGAAGCAGCTTTGGGAGTGAGCTGCAGCAACATACGGCCTGTGACGGGAATTTGGATGAGACTTTCACAAGACTTTTCACAAAACCAAGAGCCTCTCTCATATCGCCTCGTGCCTCAATCTCATTGTTTTCTGGTGTACACGCGTGTTTGTCTGCGTGCGCGTTGTGTGTAGCTGTTCCTGATCTCGCAGCCTTGCAGACATCTACAGACGTGTCCGGGGGGGCTGTAGGATCACATTCCATCGAAGAGGCCCCAGGGAGCAGTGAGGCTTTCTCTCTGCCACTTGGCTCAGTGTGGGCTGCTCAGCAAACCCCCACCACCACCACCACCTCCTCCTCTTCTTCTCCCCAATTCTCCCCCAGGCCCAAGCCTCCGCCAAAACTACAAAGGTCCCCCTACTGCTGGCAGCTCTCTCTGCTCCCCTTCCTTCTCTCAAACCCCCCGCCCTGCCTCCATTAGCCGCAGATACAGCATTCACCGCCGGCGTGCTTTAATAACCAAACAGGATTATGGGCTCTGCCTGGGGACAACCTGCCAGGGAGCATGCTCACTCTCTTGCTTGCTCTCCACGACTCACACACTTAAGAGACGGGTTTGTTTGTGTGTTTTTTTTGGGGGGAAAGGAGGTGGAGATTCGACTTCCTCGGATGGAGACACAGTCCAAAATCGTTGTGAAATCTTTTTCGAATGTGCCTCCCGTTCGTCATTTATTGATGCGTATCGGAGGATTTTGCCATCAATGAATTAGTGGAATATCAATATATAATCAGGGAAATGCAGTATTGCCAAATACATGCTGATTATAACAGCGGAGTTTGAAACGATTAAATAATTTTTTTTTTTGCTGAGCGAATGTTTATTGGTGCATTATGTGAAAGCTTTCCTTTTAAAGTTTTATTCTTGCAAGTATGGCTTTGCCTCGAGGCCATCATACCTAGGAAAAGATAATATTAAATCCTCTAAACACAGTACAATAAACAGTAATAGTGAGTGTCAAGCGTGCACTGACCTTTAGTTCTCAAATACACGTACTCACAGATCAATTTTTGAATAATGAATTGGGTTTGAACGCACTCAAAGCTCATTGTTTTGCTCCTCTGGAAATAAAAATAAACTTTCCAGGCATCTTCAAAGCGTTGCTATCATGAGTTAGCGAGACACCTTTGATCAACAAAAATAACTGCAACCTCAGTGCTGGTAAACAGTCATCTTACTAGGAAATGCGTTCTACAAATTTGCACTTCTTGGACAAACGGGAACAATAATATGTGAGGAGCCGTTACCAAAAGGCTTGAGCATCAGTTCCCCAACCTCCTAAGACCTCATCATCTAAAGTGTTTTCACTGCGTTTCAACCCAACCCAAGATGTTCCAACATGCTGAAATCTACCATCAGGTTTGCACAAAAAGCCAGATGGATGTGAAGATGCTGCTAAAACTGACCGTCCACCGGCTCCGGAGCCAAAGTCAACATTGTTATTCCAGTCAGTTCACAGTCAAGATGGTGGTAGACTTGTGTAATGATGGCCTGCTAAATGAATGCTTTGATGAACTCATCAAAGAACATTTTTCTGCAAGGCTGTTCTTGTGATTTGATTAGATTAAAAAGATAAGAGTTCGCAATCAGACATCAGTAGAAGTTTTAAAGCCTCCTCTGTAACAGCAGATGAAACGAAGCTGAATGAACAGATCATCACCTCGGTCAGTTCCTTGGGCGCACATTTGGAATAAAAAAATATATATGTATACGAAGACACTGCTTTACCTTGCACCTATTAACGACTGCTAATTGAAGAAAGCCAGAAGTTTCCATTACCTGGACAGAGTTGAGGTGACAATACCCATTGAGTGGGAAGCGGATGACGTGCGTGGAGTCATGGTTCCAGCCGGCATTGACGGAGTTGCACATGACGTCGCCGATCTCCGGGAACACGTCCTCGATCAGGGCCTTGTCGCCGCTGAGCGTGATCCTCTCTCCCAGGTCGGGTGCAACGCGCACCACCAGGCACTCGCAGGGGCGCGACACCCGGCCCAGCTCCTGGTCCTGACGCCAGCGCTCCAGCTCGGCGAGCATGGGCTGCAGCTGGAAGTACCGGGCCTCCTCGTACAGCAGGCTGTAGTCCTGCAGGAAACAGGTTAGAGGGGTGTTCACACCTTTAGCATCCAGGAAGAAGCAACGTCTGCTAATATAGGTTAGCATGGGAAATACTGTGAGTTATTGTAAATGTGTGATTTTCTTTTAAATGTGATCCAGTGTAGTTACACTAAATGCAGAATACAGTACGTCTTGCTTTACTAGAGAGCAAAACAACAACAAAACAGAATAAGCAAATCTGTTTAAGATTTTCTTTCTAATGTGGAGCCAAACCTCCCCTCCCATCCAAAAAAAGGAAAACAAAAAGAGACGCTGCGCTCTACATGAACGAGCAATAAACCCCAGTCAAGGCACCATTCAGCAAAAATTAGAAAAGATCCCAAGTAAGGGAGATGTAGTGCGACATGTAGCACAGGGTTGCGTGGGGTAGAGGAGCAGATCCTTTACCCGCAGGACTGCAGGGCCTAAATTGCAGCACATTCCAGTTTTCTCATGCTCCCCTCAAAATCTAGCCGATGTGAATATGGCCTCAGCGTGAACTTGAGCCTGCCTTTTGTCTTTGCTTATTTTAACTGACATACTTTCCACTGATTGACTCGCGCTGTGGACAGTCCATCAGATAATGTGCTTATTTGCTTTCTCCCAGGGCGAGTTAAGTAATTACTGACTAAATGATACATATGGGTAAAATGAAGGAATGCTAATGTGTCACATACAGCGAGAGAGAGAGAGAGAGACTCGCCCTGGATGGACGCTTGGCACAAGAACACAGGGAGCCGTGGATGTAGCGTGTCGTGTGGCCATGGATGCATTCATTTGTCTCAGTGCACGCTTGCACACTGTTTTTCCTCATGTATCACAAAGGAATCTTGGGCTGCTAATGGCTCGAGGGGACCAAATTGTGCCTCTTGATGAGGAAATGCATTATGATTAAGCTTTGTTTGGCAGAGCCCTGATATTCTGTCTCCGGCATGGGAACTGTTTTTCAGCTACTCGAGGAGGACCAGTGACCAAAGGCATTCCACGGCCTTAGCATTCATTGTGTGTGCTAAGTTGTAGGACTGCTGACTGGCTGATGAGACTTTACAGTTTCTAGGATGGACATCCACTCACTTTGAAGTCGTCTGGGATGAGGAGCTTGGACGTCCTGAGGAAGTTGAGGATGTAGCGGAACATGTGTCCATCCCTGTCAATGAAGTAGTGCTGCTTCAGGCTGTCCAGGACTATAGGCTCTGTGCCATCAAAGAGACGACCAATTCTACCCACAGAGAGAGAGAGAGGAGGGGTGGCGGGTTTAGGCAGAAAGGGAGGGAAGGAAGGAAGGAAGGAGGCAGGAGGACAAACATGGAGAGATTACCAATCTTGTGTTGTGTTTTTTTTTTTACTGTTTCAAGCACAAATATCACACTTGAAGCATAAAATCCAGTTTTTGTAGCCACCTCGGTTGAAGCAATCAACATCACCGCAATTCACATGACAAGGAAGAAAGAAAGATTAAAAACAGAGGTGGTCTGGAGAGGTCAGGGCCAGCTGGTGCTTGGTGGCCTGAGGCAGGGTGCCATTCACCCCCGGGGCCGGCGCTCGGAGCGACAGTGTGGCCTCCCAGCCTCCAGATGGCTCCATGCCCCGTGGCTCTTTACTGCTGCTGTGACATCTGTCAGAATAACCAAGTTGCTTTTGTCTGTGCTCTGCACCCCGCACTTGAAGCTCCTGCAAATTGTTTACTCCTTAAAAATAACTGCGAGCTTCACTTCACGTTTTTTTTTTCACTACCTGACAGATGCAAAAACAAACGACAGCAAAGATTTTTTCTTTTTTTTTTCAAGTGTGTGCACGAGATGCTTTGTGATTTGAAGAGACGTGACACTCGGCTGTTAAATGTTAAAAAATAAATAGGATGACATTAAACTGAGAGCAAATTCTGACGCTGGTCCCCCCGCAAACACAAAACTTTATCTTCATCGCACACTTAAAATACATTTGTACGGTGTGGCGGACTCACCGGGATTCTGGGAATTTTGTTAAGGTGGCCAGACTGCTGGTGTACATGTGTCCGCCTACGTCGATGTGCACAGGAGCATTGGACTTGGTGAGCTGTGCAGGTGTTGGGATGCCCTGGTTACTCAAGGGAGACACTGGTGACCGCGTGATCATGGGCCTGGACATGCTGGAGCGATTATCCTGCAGGAGCACAAAGGCAGAAAACATTATGACACAGGTAGGTGAGACTCACAGGAAAATATTATTTTTTTTCTGCTGCTGCTGCAAATCAAAAATAAAAAGATGATTCCAGCAACTCCCGGGGGGGTTTCATAGATTCTTTTTAAATATTTCAAGACTAAAAAGAAAGAATAGTCAGACACAACAATCTGTATTTCTTTCACTCCACAGTCAGGAGTGAAAAGGAAGCTTTTTTCTTCTTCTTCTTCTTCTTCTTCTCTGCGAGATAGAGCAGCCTGACCTTGACCTGAATGTTGCCACAATCCAGAAGCATCCACTCCTGTGGGCCATAATCTCCAAAACCAAATTAATTTGGAACATCAATCTCAGTCTAGGAAATGAGCAATAATGACTCTTGATTTGAATACTGTAATAGGATTTGGAGAAACTGTCTCATGTTAACCTACAAACACCATTAACAGACGATTTCTGATGAGAAGAGAGAAAAAAAAAATTACTTTATCCCCAAAAGTTTCAGACACTGAGTGAAGGTTCTGTTCTCAGCCACTGGAGATCACTGGACTTAAAGATGGAAAGAGACATTACAGCAGCAAAACAGAGGATTGTGCATGATTTTTTTGGTTAAATGTGACAATATGTGCGCAGCCTACATTTAAAGACAGCAAGAAGACGATCTGCTCACTGCATCCAGTAAAACCCAAGTGTCCGCTCATCTAGTAAAAAGTGACAGATCGACATCAATCTTAAGTTATTTCTCTTTTTTTTTTCTTCTTTTCTCCACAGGACGAAAAAAAAAAAAAATCGGACTTTTACGCGTTTACCTGCGCCGGCATCACTGTGGTTGGAGAGGAAGTCACCGAGTGGTCATTTTGCTTGAGAGATGCTGCGGGAACAGGCTCTCCTCTGACAGCGAACATCAGTGAGGGCTCCCTGCACTCCGGCGCTCGGATCGGGAGCCGTTTGAGGGAAGCGTGCACCGACTCATCCACGGAACTGATTGGACGCGGTCGCTTTCTCGCCTTCTGATGCGTTAAGTCCATGATATCCGTTTCGTCCATTACAGCTCAGACTTAAGGTTAAGAGATAGGACGGCGGGGTGTTTTTTTTTTCTTCTTCTTCTTCTTCTTCCTCCTCTCTCTCTTTTTCCTTTCTTTTTCTGTCCCCCCACCACACCTGCCAAATGTGAAGAGGCGTGAAAAGCGCGGATGGCGAACACCGGGGGAAGCGCGGCGCCGTGGCTGTCACACGGAGCAGCTTCTTTGCAGTGGCTGGGAGAAGTCAAAGCCCCCGACAACATTAGCATTGTAGCGCCCGCGGCTCTTTTGGGCTGTCGCTGTTTCAGTGGCAGGTATGTGTGTCGCATTTTCACGACTAAAACAAATCCTGCCTAACAGATTGTGATGATGTGGGGGTTATGCGAGTTAACGCGCACATCTGGACCTGCCACAGCTGGCCTTTGGCCCCCCCTATTTTTTTTTNTTTTTTTTTTTTTTTTTGGAGCAGTGTTTCTGTGCGCGGTCACCTCCTCCTCCTCCCCCCTTGATGCTGCTGCTGCTGCCCATTGTTCAGTTTTTTCCTTCTTCTCCAGCAGGTCAAACCCTCCTTCAACACAACAGTCCCACAAAGTTCATCCATTCACTGTGGCCAACCTTCCCAACCCTCCCAGTACCAAGCACCGCCACACTACCATCATGATCTTTCCAGTCTCACAACAAACACTTGGTACAAACAGTGTTTAGGGGCCAAACACTCCTTTCAAACAGAATATTATCAGTAACTGAAGAGTCCTTTACTGGCACAAAGAATCAGTGAAACTGAAGCCTCCAAACACAGCCATCTTCCCTCCGAGGAGACGATTCAAACTTCTCCTTGATCTGTCTCTCATTGGCTACATGCCTGACAAATGTAAGAGTTACTGTATGATGCATTGCAAAACCGCCACACTAATGATATCACGGAGTATAAAACCAGACCACAACATGTCCAATTGCAGTTAAAAGTACTGCCACAGCACTCTCCTGGGCTGTTTTTTTTTTCATAGAAAATGCAGGGAATCCACAATTTTTAATAACATTCAGATTAAAATTAATTAGTTCAACCACTGGCCTTAAAACATCCACATTCCTGCTTCTCATTGGCAGTGTGAGTTTCACACCTAGATACCCAATTAGCAATTAAGCTTGCCTTTGAGTGTAGGCCTCCAATGCGGTGTGTGATCCTGGTCTGATTTGCATGCCACTTGTGCACGCGCTGATAAGCGCAGGCAGCAGCCATACATAGTTTTAAAATTCAACTCCAGAATCCCTCGCAGAAGGCAAAGGGGCCTGCAGGGCAAAAGAGAGAGAAATCACATGGCTGCTCTTCAAAAGGGGACCTGTGTAAGGCAGCCGGCAAAGTGCGTGGGATCACACTCAGAATGCAGGTAATTTGTTCCCTGACTAATTTGTGGAGATGGTGGTGTGTGTGTGTGTGTGTGTGTGTGAGAGAGAGAGAGTGTGAGAGCGAGTGTGTGTGTGTGTGTGTGTGCCTGTGGAGAGTAAGTTCTGAAAACAGCTTGGTGGAATTGGATTTCCTCAAAGCCTTGTCATCGCAAAGGTGGATTGAGTGTAAAATCTGTAAGGCATTATGGAAAATTGCAGGGGAGAAAGAAGAGAGAGTGAAAAAGAACGGGTGGCTGGGTGGGTGGGAGGAGGGGGGAGGAAGGGAGGGGAGGGTTGAGGGGTTCGCCAGCTCCTTATATCACTAAATCACTCTGTTTGTGGAAATAAAAACACGCGTCGTGGACCCTGACATCTTGAACCGGTGGCCGCATCACGTTTCTAAGTTTTCCAGCTCGACAACAGTTCAAAGGTCGCAACTGGACCAGAATCAACAACCAGAGCACGTGACGGCGGACTGGCGTGCTCGTGTATCATCCATCAGCTGGGATGTGCACAGCAGATCCACCACTACTCTCCCCTACCTGTTGCCATTTCGAAATCGGTGCCACAGAAGCCCGCCGTGTGACGATGTTTGCGAAACAAGACGAAACGTATGTGTTTAGTGAATGTGCTCGTTTGCCCAGCTTGTGTAATTTCGCTGCACCACAGTATGCACAAACAAAAATCTAAAACAGGCACAGTGCATCAAAGCCGGGAGCGCTTGAGCTGCTCCTGTTACTCCTGCTGTTTTCCACCGATGCTCTTTCACAAACAAGGCAAAAATCATAATTTTAGCATCTTCCCCCTTAAAACTTCACGGAACAAACACTTGCAGCTGGATGTTTGGTGAGATGGTGAAGGATTAGACCGACTGATGCGCCACAAAGTTAGGAAGCAGGCATCTGTCTGCTATTGTAATAATCAAAGGGCCTTTTGGGATCAGCATAAGCAACAAACTAACTTTCAGTTGTCCATCCCACAATGCAGCTCTTCACTGTTTCGACATATCGCACAAGACACAATTAGCATTTCAGATCAGAGCATTAACATTCAGTTCGAGGCAGCCAGACTGGTATTTACATAATCTGGATGGGTTGTCTCTGCTTCGTTGCCCGCGGCCATTTGTTTCAAATGTCCACACACACAGACAGCTACAGACTTTGGGTTAACTTCAGTCGCTGCAAGTTGTAAAGGCAAAAAAAAAAAAAAGAAAGAAATAGCAGGTAGTGAACTGTCATAACAGCCTGGTGTGAATAAATATTGTACGCTGGTTTGGTTTGTATCCCTTTGGACTTTAAAAACTGGACTTTAGGCATTATAAGTTAACTGCACACTGCTGCAAAGCAAAAACACTGCAGTAGCACTGTTTGCACATTTCGGTAAAACTTCTGACACTGTCATTAATCCCGCTGTTGTCTCCCCACCGCGTGCTTTCATAACTTTTGAACCTGAATAACAGTCTTTTAAAGGCAATTCAATTTAGGAATACAGAGACACCGACTGTATTTTGTGTTACATCAGTCCTACAAGCCACAACTTCACGCTGACTGTATTCTTATATTTCTTAGAAAGAGCATTAGCTGTTTGGGCTAAAAATACTTTTCGTGGAAAGCCGAAGAGGTTCCATTCAAGATAAAAAATACAGCATTACAAGATTAAATGTGCTGCTCTTTAGAGTGAAATTGAAATATCCAGATGTACCACTTTTTAAACAGAATCTCTGGATATGATCATTTTCAAACGTGTTTGAGAATCCACACGATGAACAATGTCAGAAGTGTTACCGAGTTTTCTTAAATGTGACAGCAGTGCCCTCATATTTATCAAGCAGATTCCCATAATTACTCCATGACTTTTTTTTTACTACAAATAGAGCCACTTCGGAATCATTCTTTGTGGAGTTGCTGCAGCTGCTCATCGGGGATGACATCACGGATAGGGAAGTGTGATCAGCGCTGTGTGGCTGCAGGCTGTTGGAGACAGTGGTGCATGTTCATTGGCACAGACCAAATTGTCCCAGGGCACAGGAGTGCCAGAGCCACGGTGCAAAGTATAATAACAGCGTTTGTCTCCGAGGCGTTCCAATTTAGCAAGTAAAGCTAAAACTTCAAACTTGTTGTGTAGTTACACAAATGTAATGTGGGTTGTTTTTCCAAAAAAAAAAAAGAAAAAAAGAAAGTCCTCTCCCAGCAGCTCAGAGGTGTGTTTGTGAGGTGCACTGGAACACAGAGCTACAGGAGCTGAGCACAGTGGTAGAGGACGGTTTTGTTACAGCGCCATCAGGTGATCGGTCCTGACAAGCCAACATCTCATTCTGTTTATTCATTCACCCTCTGGAACTGGTGAAACTGGCCACTGGCTTTCAACCCAGGTGACCAAAACTTAAGACTTTTATAATGTCTTTATGAGGGTCATCCTCCCTGCAGCCCAGTGACAAGTCACCAAACACACAATCTGCTTTTTTGCTTAGGATGGAATATACAATAACACATCAAGCACACACTTTCTGAACAGAAGTAGAAGTTTACACACACACAGCGATGCCGTTAAAGTAAAATAAGTCTACTTAGTGCTACTTGGTAACTACATATCTGCATCCGGACCTTGGAGTTGATTACGCACGGCGCGGTCAGAAAGCCAAGAGAGGGGAGAAGACAAAATTCGCTCCTATTTTTGTCCTCTTTTACGTAAAATATGATTACCCTAGCACGGCCACGGCTTGTATTAAAAGGATGATTCACAGATTTTACATTGACGTGTGTAAAAAAGGTACATCCTGTCACACAGAATAAGAAATACGCCTGCGGCAAAATTACTCCACAATGGCGTCTTTCATTAGAAGATCTGGGGCAGCCAGGAAATGGAACTGTTTCACGACAAATCTGACTTGGAAGAAACAAAAAAAAATCTTTAGGGGGAACGAAAAACGCCGGTTTAAGTAAGTTATCGGCAAGTTGTACAGCAACAGCGACACGGAAGACGGCGAATGTTTTCGGAGCCTGAAACGCGCCAGGAGCGAATTCACACGGTGGATAAGTAGAGTGTTTGCTCGACAAGATCGCCGTCTAATCCGCTGCTCGTTCGCATCAGATGTGCCAAAGAATCCTATACCGTAGACACGCGCATACATTTGTACAGTAACCGTGGAACAATAGCCAGGAAGTGGTTAAATATTTTTTAAGAACTGTACCGCTCGAATCGCTTGGCACATGCGTAAAAGCTGCTGCGCCTCTATGTCCCAGTCCATCCAACCTCGGAAATAATAGCAAACCAAATAAATCTTCGCTTACCTGAAACATAGAGCGGCATAAAGTATCTTTTTGTGCACCTTTTCCCTCCGATTTGGCCCACGATCTGCTTCTCTTCCTACACCAGTGAGAAATGCAATAGCTTGGCTAAGGTAGACAGAACAAAATACAGAGAATACATGCTCCAGGGCTCCGAAACCCCTCAAGGCAAAGATCAGGATACAATTAGCTCATGTCTCTGCCCCAGTCTAAACCAATCTGCAGAATAAAACTGCGAGCAAAGGAAGAGATCACAGCAGTGCCTCAGTCTTTGTTGAGTTTATGTTTTTATAAAATCAAATAAATAATTTTTTTTTTCTTCTTCTGCATTTACAACACCCTCACCCCTCCTGCCTCCAACTTGCCTATTGCCTCCTTCTCGCAGAGAAGCTGATTTTAATCGTTATGATTAGTTTTGATGTAACGTTCCCCCGGGCGATTTCTACAAATGGATGGAGTGTTTCTTTGCCAGGGAGGAAAAGCAGCAGATGATGATAATTATATAGATTGTTGGTGGAGTCCTTTGATTTTTTTTTTCTTCTCCTCTCTCTCTGCCTCTCTTACTTCTCAAACATCTAACCTGTCTTCTCCTTTCAACGCATGCAGCACACACCGCATGTGCGTCAGGGCAACTTGTTGATTAGCATAGAATCAACTTATTAAATTAATGGAATGTGCTTAATGAAATTCTCACTCTGCGCTCTCTCCTTTGTAATCTTTTCAGTCTCTTTCCTCCCTTTGGACAACCTCCAAATGACGTAGTTG